AGCTTGGGGCACTGGACAACTGTACAGGTTTGATGCCCACAAACCAGTTCTGTCTATATAATGCCAGAACTGCCTTCCTGCCTCATTGTGTTTGCCAGGGTTTCACTTCGTCAGAAGATCGGGAACTATAGCCGGGGCTCACAGTTGAAGAGAACTCGCTTTCACGCAGCAGGGGGAAACATGTTCTGGGCCTGGTTCATCCACAGGCATTGACTACCTCTTGATGATGTCCTTATAGTGGGGTTTTGTCCTAAGTTCAAAATAACCTAATTAACCAGCAAGAAGGTTATTGTTCCCCACACTTGAATATACTTATTGCAATGATATCCTGCTTTATAACTTTTACCATAATCTAGTGGAATACCCAATAAAAGTGAAGATTCTTATAAAATTAATTATTTACTTATAGTCAATCTACATTTTTCATAGAAAATTCTTATAAGACTAATATTGTTCTGGTGTTAGAAATTAAAAATTGCCATGTGTTTATCCTGTATCACGTTCACAGAAACAAACACATTTATTTGCATAGCCCCCTGTGAGGGAGTACCACTTGGGTGATTTTACCTTCTTTGACTTCAGAAACGTGGGTCTAATACCCGCATGGAGACCCTTGGAGTCAGTTGTTGGCAAGTAATGCTACCAATAGGATATATTAAACTTTATGATGGTGAGAAAGGTTTTGTTGAGAGACCCAGTATAATGAGAATAGTACAAATACTGTGTGTCTTTACTCGTGGTGGATTTTAAGGGCTTTACCACCAGTTGGGGTTGAGATAACAATCTCAACATCATCTTCTCTAAGGAACTGAGGTTCAACCCTTATGCATATGGTTAGACAATCGTTATCTTTGGGCTATTTAGTGTTATTCATCTTATTCATACTGTGTAGGATATCATCTTTAAACAAAAATTATGTGTACACATACTCCAAGTTAGTTTTAAGCAGGAAGGCTCTGCCAGTTGCTCTCTAGTGCAGTTTCCCCCTTATGTCGTGCTTGGCTCCGTAGTCTTCCAGATTGGGCCAAATCAGTGTGCCCTGCCCAGGCCTCTGTCTTCCCTTCTTTGACAGCTGTGTTTTCAACAGACTGAGGTGATGAGAGAGGCACTTGGAACAGCCCAGGGAAGGAAGAATCACATTCTATTCACAACAAACACTGAACACGAATCCTCTGCTTCATGGTACTGGGGCTCTTCGGCATATCATTATTAAAGACCCTCCTGGAGGCAGAAGCCTAGGAGGACCTCAAGGGTCCCCTGGTACTTGATGAATTCATGTCTAATGCTATCCAGGATGTCATTTGCACATGGTAATATGAATCACTATCTTGTGGCTCTGCTTATCAAGAGAAGGTTGGCACTGTAAATCATCCAATTTTTCCCCCTCAAACAAAACAATTTTTTAAATAGACATTACTTTTTAGTACATGTTTAGATTTACAGAAAAAAGTTCAAAGGAATAATTTTATACCTACTGAGAGTTTTCATATATCTTCTACTACATACAGTTCCCCTTATTATTGACACCTGAAATTAAGTGATGCATTAGTTAATTAATTAATGGAAAAATGTATTGTTTTCCTAGGCAGGCAAAAGTTTACTAGCTGCAAACACCACTAAGCCTAATGTCTGTTCATTTAAAGCAGATGTGACACCTCAGATGCCTATGGAGACAGAAAAACTCACTAATTGCCATCAAATTGATTCCACCTCACGGGTACTCTATAGGGCATGGTAGAACTGCCTCTGTGAGTTTCAGAGACTGCAACTCTCTCTTTTTTTATTTTCAATTTAACATTTTTTATTGACATAAAATGTCCACTTTAGAGACATCATTATCCTTTTATTGGGGAAAATTACAAATTATTTTCGTGGAATATGATACTTTTCTAATGGCATCATTAGTTTAGCCAATGCTATAGACCGGCGGTTCTCAACCTGTGGGTCACGACCCCTTTGGGAGTTGAACAGCCCTTTCACAGGAATCGTCCGATTCATAACAGTGGCAAAATTACAGTGATGAAGTAGCAACAAAAATAATTTTATGGATGGCGGGGGGTGGGGGTGGGGGTCACCACAACATGAGAAACCGTATTAGGAAGGTTGAGAACCACTGCTATAGACCTTCAAATACTGTTTAGAAAAAGAAAGTATACATATATAGGACATCATTTTAGACTAAAATACATAGATTTTTTTACCTGTACAGGTAAAAGACTCAGATGATTAGAAATTATTTATGCAAACAATGAGGGTTGCATATAGGACAAAACTTTCAATAATGCTTGAGAAGAAATGTTGATTCATTATCATTGATTAAATCTGTAAGTTTTTACACAGTGTCTTTTCTGTTCCCAGATCCCCCTTCACCTTTAGCCAGGCTGTCTCCGTGAGCTCCTTTTGCCGACCCTTTAGACAGTGACTAAGACGTTTCTTGACAGCACTGAATTGTAGTAGTGAATACTTCTACTGGAATCCATATGCCGTTTTTCTAAGGTTAGAGCGGCTGATGGGTTTTGGAGAGGAAGCTTACAAGAAGTGGTGTGTCATTTTCATCACGTCCTGTCAAGATGATTTATCGCTGTTAGTGTTGACCTTGATCACTTTGGGGAGGTACTTTTATCAGGCTTCTCTACCATAAAGTTGTCCTTTTTCTTCCTTTACACATTGCGTTCTTTCTTTTCTTTGAAAAAAAGTGTTTATTGGGAATTGGGTGAAGGTTTCCAGAGCAGATACTCAGTTTTACATTTAATGATTTATATGCATTTTGTTTCAACTCATCCGTTGCAATTCCCTCAATGTAACCTGATGTATTCTGTATCCACTGTGTGATTTCCTGCTTCTGTTCCTCCTCCTTTGTGAATGCTGGCTGTCCTTGAGTAAATGTTGCCCTTTAGATGCCAAATGGCTGATGATTCAAACACGGGATGAATTCTGTCCCAGCCCTGACCAGTGACTAAGTGCCAAGGTCCTGGAGGTGACACCAATCTCTGTCTGACCAATAAGCCTGGTCTCTCTTATGATTTTGATTTATATTTCACATTTTCTCCCACTCTATTTGGACTTTTAAATATGATTCTTTTGAGAGATGTTGATAGTGGTGACCCGGCACCATCTCTTCTTCTGGGTTTAGACAGATATTTGCATGGTCCATTAATCTATTGGATTATTTTTTTCACATATCTCTCAATTTTTATTTTTTCTGGACGAGAGACTACTAATGGCACCTTAGATGATGCTCACGAGCGCTTATGATCCTAGTTGCTGCTCACCAGGATAGGATTTCGAACATAGTCTTTTTTAACAATGTTATGCCAGTTGACCTTGGAGTTTCCTGAGATTGTGATCCCCATCTCCCAGGCCCAGCAGCTCAATTGCCTCAAGGTGTTTTGCTGTTTCTAAGAAGTTGTCATAACTTTGCCTCTTTATGCACCACTGCATTTAGGGGTATATTTGTAGTCCATGTAGTTGCACATACCTTCTGTCAACTCTATATATTCGTGAGTATATTCCCATGTACCCTGCCACACCAGTTTATCTCGTGTGTCTATGCAGCATGTACTCAGAGATCACCACTATTGCAGGATTGTTTACAGAAGAGTATTTGCCTCTGTCGCCTTTAACGCTTGCAAATTCTTCCTAAGGAAACCACTATGTACAGCCAATATTTCATTTTTCATGAAAGATTGGTTTCATGTGAAAAATAATAGTAGTTAGGAACAGACTTCTTGGTATTAGGAGGAAATTAACTTTGGCTTTAACTCCTTCACTTACCAGCTCTGTGACTCTGCTTAATTACTATCGCATTTCTCAGTTTTAGCTCTTGATATAAAAAATTAGATAATGACGGCAACATATGTACAAATGTGCTTGATACAATTGATGTATGGATTGTTACAAGATCTGTAAGAGTCCTCAATAAAATGTTTTTAAAAATAGTTTCAAAACTTCATAGAATTGTTCTCAAAATAAAGTGACCAAAGTAAACTCTGTGATATATAAAACCTAAAATCAAGCCCACTGACAGTGAGCGACTCTAATTCATAGCTATCCTAAAGGGCAGACTACAACTGCTCCTGAAGGTCTCTGAGACTAAATCTTTATGGAGGCAGATAGCCTCATCTTTCTACTGTAAATCAGGTGCTGGATTTGAACCACTGACTTTATGGTGAGCAGCTTGGTACAAGCCACTACATAATCAGGGCTCCTTTAGGTATGGTAAGTGTTAAAAAAATCCAGTCATCATCATCATCACCACCATCAACAACAATAATAGCACAGTATGCCATTTGAAGAGTAGATGACATGCAAGTTCATTAGAGGCATCAATAAGTTTGACTGTCAGAAATAGAGTCAGTTTTGTTCTGGAGCATTTTTATGAATCAAGAATATTTCCAAGGCATATTTTTATACAAATACAGATGAACATTTAACTTGTACATATATATATGATCCATGGTTTTCTCTCCCCAAATACTGTCCTTTTCTCACAAATTGTTGTCTTGACTTTTAAAAATGAAAGTGAGATTATATATGCTACATGATAAATACATGCAAATGTTAAATTTCTGATCAAAAATGGTAAGAAACAATATTGAAGAAATATTAAAACTGACTTCAACTTTGTAAATTATATACTAAACTAACAATACTTATAAAGGATTTTGATTTTATTTTTTCAAAGTTTGTTGTATTTATTATTCCCAAAAAATGCTAATGAAGAAAAGAGTTGCAGATGATATTTGCGTTATTCTTTAGGAATAAAAGGAAGGATGTGCTTTTTCAGGTACAAAAAACAATTGATATAACATTGTTATGTTTAAAATCTTTGTTTTGTTTTTTTTCAGTGTGAACAGAATATGCTGCTAAATTCTCTATCCAATGGTACCTGCAATGGTGAGTTAAAAAAAGAAAATATTTTTAAGTGCTCAGATTTGAAACTGGTTCTTATCCTACTTCTCTCTCGTCTTTCCTGCAGGCCTCTCCTGCCTTCTTTCCTGCTTTCTCTTCTTCCTGCTTCTACTTCTCGCTTCTCTCTCCTCCCCACCTCTTTAACGCTCTTTCCCTTCTCCTTAGTCTGTTTCCACAATTATATCCCTGAGTCAGCAGATGAGGGAGACCGGAAAACTCTTGCCATCTCTTTGGTCATCATATACCAGGCCACACACACCCATAATGCAAGTTTCAACACAATTCAAATAAGGAATCCTTCATAGAGAAGTGTCTGACAACTATATAATTAGACAGAAAGTATTTTTTTCATTACGTAAAGATAACCTGAAAGGTTTCATACATATATCTAAAAATTAGGAAATACTCTTTCAAATTAGCCATTGGTCAATATTGAAGTAATTGAGGAAATAATATTGAAAATTAGAAAAATATAATGAAATTATCAGGAAAATATTGCATGTTATAACATGGGATATAGTTAAAACAACTCTTAAAGCTAAATTTATAAACTAAAATGCAATGCATGTAGTTATAAACTAAGCTATTTTGCATATAAGCTATATGCATATAAGGAAAGAAGGCTAAAAATTAATAATTTAAATATTTATTCCAAGAGGTTGGGAATGAAAAAATGAAGATGATGAAAGTAAAGGGAGAAAATAATAAATATAGAATTAGAAATTAATTAGGGAGAAAATTTAAAAAGGAAATCAAGAAACACAATTCAGAATCTTTGAAAAAAAAATTATTACTTACCAGATGAGGCTGATAAGACCACATCAAGGACATCATCCATGAAGAAGGGAAAGTTCATTTATAAAAAGACAGGAATGAACTAAGTCCAGATGGAAGAAGCACCCCACCCGTGTAATCCTTGGATTGTAAATAATATAATCCAAATCAGGAAGAGGGAATGGTATCAGAACTCAAGTTCTAAACAGAAGTTTACAGAAGTCTTACACGACAGTGGAAGCCCAGCATCCATTTGCAGGTCCTGATTTGGATTAACCCTCTGGTGAGTCTCTCTGATGTGAGTGGTCTTTCTATCAGACAAGGGGCTTTTGAGTTCATTTTTGGTTTTGGGTTTGGTTTGGATTTCATTGCTTTTTCTTTTAACTTCCTTTTGCCTTTTTTTAAGTTTTTTTCGTTTTTTATTTTTTTTTGTTTTTTTTTTGTTTGGGTTTTTTTTTTTTTTTTCTTCTTTTTTTTTGCTTATTTGCTCCTTGTTTTGTATGATTTTCTGCATATGAGAGAAGGTGTCCTGATAAAGCAAAGACATTCCACTGTGTGGATAATAACAAGGAATGAGACTACCTTGTGCCCATGCGGAACATAAACATAGGGACTATGAGACGTTTGTTTCAAGAGAACAAAGGGATGTTGTGTGGCTTTAAATCAGGACTGATGAGCTTATAAAGACAACAAATAGAATAAGTATTCCTGGGGTGTTCATGGAGGGGGGTGGGGCTGTAAATGGGAGCCAATATCAAGGAGTTCAAGAAAGGAGCTTTTTTTTGAAACTGATTGTGGTATCAATTATACAATTCTGCTTGATGTAATTTAACTATGGAATAAGATATGTGTATTAGCTCCCTAAATAAAATGTTTTTGAAACATAAAATCAGGAGAGATGGACATCAGGTTGTTTCTTTAGTTAGTCTGTAGACTGGCCAAATAGAAGAAGGCATCCTCAGGATTGGAGGAAGATTCATTAATAACATGTGATATGCAGGTGACACAACCCTGCCCACTGAAAGCCAAGAGGGCCTGAGGCACTTACTGATGAAGATCAAAGATCTCACAACTAGACCAATAAACAGCGTCATGATAGATGGAGAAAATATTGAAATTGTCAAGGATTTCCTTCCCTTATAGTCATAATTAATGTTCATGGAAGTAGCAGCCAAGATATTATACAACATATTGCACTGTGCAAATCTGCTGCAAAAGACCTCTTTAAAATATTAAAAATATATTACTTTGAGGACTAGGGTGGACTTGATCCAGGTTATGGTCTTTTCAGTGACCTCATATACACACGAAGGCTGGAAGAACTGATGCCTTTGAATAAAGATGTTGGAAAAGAGTATTGAATGTGCCATGGACTGTCAAAATAAAGAACAAAACGGTCTTGGAAGAAGTACAGCCAGAATGCTCCTTAGAACAAGCTTTTGTCTTGCTTACGTGGAATATGTTATCAGATCCAACCCCTGAAGGAGAACATCATGCTTGGCTGGAAAAAAATGCAAGAAAAAAGATCCTAAATGAGATGTTTGTCACAGAGGTTGCAGCAATAGCTACATGATCCTATCTATGATAATGAGGGCGGCTAAAGACTAGGCAGTGTTTGTTCTGTTGCGCATAAGGTTGCTATGAATTGAAACCAGGGAACTCCTAACAGCAACAAGACTGATAAGAAGAAAGAGATAAGGCATTAGTAATAAATATCAGGTACAATAACAACAAAAATACTTCAGATCTATTATGGATCTAAGTTTGTCTTTTTAAAGTGTTTGGTGGAATCTAAACTCCTATACTTTTGGATAGACAAGTACTGGTTTCTATTGAGTTGGCACAGATTAACATATGATATAATTATTTTTGGCTCTGAACCTTTATTTGGATTCTTCTGGAGGAGCACTGATGGTATAAGGGGTCAAGCATTGAGCTGCTATCTAAAAGGTCAGCAGTTCAAATCCACCAGCCACTGCACAGGTTAAAGATGAAGCTTTCTGCTTCCATAAAGATCTACGGACATGGAAACCTGTAGAATTGCCATGAATGGGAATTAATTCAATGACCATGTGTGGCTAGAACATTCTACATTGTTTGACAACCAAATCTTATACTTTCTTTAACCCTTCATAAAGAAATATGAAAAGTGAAGGGACATGCTCCGTGCTATCTTATTGGTTAGAAATGTTTGTAAACAAGAACTTCATCCCTACAAGGTAATATACAGTCAAGTGCAGCCTGGACTTTCGTTTCTTCAGCTCTAAAATGGAAATCATAGTATAGTAAACAGTTACTCTACACTTCGTCTGCTCACATACTGCCTTCTAGATTTATAGTTGTTTTATTTATGTATACTTTTTTCTCAATTAATTTGATTTTTAGGAAAGGGATGCATTTTCAGTTTCCATTACTTTATCCTCCATTGCCCAAGGAGCACCTAGTCAATTAATGAGCATTCGACTAAACAATATCTGTATCCCACTTGACAGATTTCCAAAGGACATTCTTCTAAATAACCCTGAAGTAGGGCATAAATAAATCCGATGCCTCTTGACTTAGTTATGTAGTGCTGTTGCTCTCATTAGATGCCATCTAGTCCGTTCTGGCCCACGGCTTACCGGCTGGAACGGCGGCTTGTTTTTTTCCCCCTTCCCAACGGTTCTTGGGTTTGGGCCCGTTGTTGCGGCCCTTGGTTCATTTCTTGTCTGACTCATTGTCTGGCACATGCACATGAGGTGATTGAAAGTACTATGGCTTGGGTCTGTTGCACCTTAATCCTCAAGGTGACATTAACATTGTTGCTCTTTAACACTTTAAAGAGACCTTATTAGCATAACAACTAGAACCCATTCCCTAATATGATTATGAAAAGAGGATGTATAATACATTTTATTGGGGGGTGGTGTAGCAAGTGAAGAAACTGAGGTCCATATCGGATGACTGACTTTCTCTGGATCATGCGGTTCAGTAGGAGCAGAGTCTGGTGTGGCAGGAAGTCAGATAATAGGCATGCTGGTAAGCAGGACAGGCAGGAATGATGCTTAAACTGTGTTTTAAGAATGTTGGTCTGATTAAAAAATAAGAATAATGAGGGTAGCAAATGTACAAATGTACAAATGTGCTTTATACAATTGATGTATGCATTGATTGTGATAGTTGTATGAGCCCCAATTAAAAAAAATTAAAAATTTATAAATTATCCAGGGTTCATGAGGAAGAGAGAGGGGGAGAAATGAACTGATACCAAGGGCTCAAGTAGAAAGAAAATGTTTTGAAAATGATGATGCCAACATATGTACAAAGGTACTTGACACAATGGATGTATGTTTGGTTTGTGATAAGAGCTGTAAGAGCCCCCAATAAAATGATTTTTTTTAAAAGAAAAAAAAAGAATGGTGGTCTGAGTGCAGTCTGTAGGGAGGAAAGCATGAAAGATGGGGTGAGATTTTATTGTCTTCTGCTTTGGTCATATGACAATTAAAATGAGAAAAAACAGTCTTCAGAGGTATGAAGAATGCAGTCTGAGACTATTTAGGTGTTGGGAGAAGGGCAAACGCAATACAAAATAATTTTTAAAATGGGATACTCTACATTGGAACGAATAGGGAGCCCAGGGCGGCAGTTAAAAGGGAAGATAGGTTGTGCCAGGTGAGGCCTGGGTGATCTCTCCACTCACAGCAGGGTCTGTAACAAGCAGGGTCTATCAAAATAAGAAACTATGGAGGTGAGGTCCAGTGCCCTTCGGACAGTGCAGAACTGAAGACTGGAAAGTTGAGAGAATGTGGCTGCTGGCTGGAGATCCAAAGCTGGCCGGAGATCTGGGGCAGGCCAGAGAGCTGAGCAGGAGCAGGCTGGAGGCCCACGAGCAGGCCCAGGGTCTGGAGCAGGCTCGTGAGCAGGTTGAGGGTCCTGAGCAGAGCTCGTGGCTTCTCTTGGCTGTGGCCACCTAGCTGAGTCCGTTTCCAAGACCATCTTCAGCCAGGGACACCAAGACGATCAATCTGCTCACTCTTGCATCCCCTTGGACCCCAAGCATCAGAATTACAGACCTGAGGAAGATGCGGGGAGGGTGTGCTGTTAGCATGGATAACCCCACTCAAGGGACAACGTGAAGTTGTATGTGAAAGGACATAGTGGATGGTGTAAGATATGGCATAAATAAATGAATAAGGGTTCCTGGGGCATTGGATAGGGGAGGGAGGGGATTAAGGGGAGCTGATGTCAAGGAGTGCAAGAAGAAAGAAAGTGCTTTGAAACTGATTGTGGTAGCAGTCGTACAGTACTGCTTGATGTGATTAAACTATGAAATGTTATGACGTCTGTAAGAGCTCCCAATAAAATGATAAAAAAGAAAGAGAGAGAGAGTAGATACATTTAGCTTGGGGAGCATATTTTCATTTCTGAGCACAAAATTGATGATCAGAATCTATGGAACTGGCTATGTAAATATTAAGATGGAAATCATGTTATTATTTCTTCAATGAGAATAAAATGTGCTCACTTATAAACAAGTCAACCATATTTAGAAGTCTGTGTCTCAGAAAGTCTTCACTCACACTGTGTCCATGTCACCTGACCTCCTGGTGGAGTCTCTGTTGGTGTTGTGACTTGCAGGCCCATTTCTGCCACTTCCGTTTCTGGCCCTTCTGACTTCCTTTCGTAAAGGCCCGTGTGATTACAACAGGCCTACTCAGGTCATCCAGGGCAACCTCCCCATCTCAAAAAAGAACAAGCATTTAATCTATCTCTACTTGAATGTGACCTGATGTGTTTCACAAGAGACATAGCTTCTACAGAGTTTTTATGGCTGTTACATGGCCGAAGCACATCCTCGGGTCTTTATTTTTCTGGGCACCTTGGAACGTGTTCATACTACCAACCTCTCAATATGTTAGTCTGGGTACTGTAGAGAAACAAATCCACAGAAACTCATGTATAACAGAGAGTTTTATATAAAGGTTAAGTGCGCACCAAGAAAATATCCCAACCCAGTGCTGCCCAAGCCCACAAGTCCAACATTAACCCATTAACCCATATGTCCAACACCAATCCACCAAGTCCTCCTCCATCTCACAAAACAGACACAACAATGCCGACTGCAGGAGGAAAGCCGAAAGTGAACATGTAAGCATCTCAGTGCTGGCAGGGGTCTCCACGCGGCTGCTCCAGCACCCAGGGCTGCATCGGAGTAGGTCCATGTGGCTTCTCCTCAGAGATGTCTTGCAGGAAGTGAGCCTTGCCAGCTGAAGCAGGGAACTGCTAAGGCAGCTGCACCCTGGTGCGACCATCAGAAAGCAAGAAACCCGAGAACTCGAAACACGAGGCTCACCAAGCCATTTATCCCTCCGCCCTTCAATTAACCCCACATGTGTTTATCAGCCAGGTTGGCACAATAAACTAACTAACTCACACAACAAATTGCCCAGTAAATAAACATGCCACCCAAGGATTTCCCACTTTAAGACCCTTACTGTAAGCTAATTTGTGAAGTCTCTTTTGTGGTATCCGGCAACATGTTCTGGGGCCTCAGATGAGAACATCTTTCCTCCCCCGGCTATTGAGTTGATTCCTACTCTTAGTAATCCTATAGGACAGAGTAGATCTGCTCCATGGAATTTCTGAGACTGTCATTCTTTTGGGGAGTGGATAGTCTTGTTTTTCTCTCTTAGAGCAACTGGTGGACTTGAACTGCTAACCAAGAGGTTAGTAGCCCAACACTTGCTCCACTGAACCACTAGAGCCATGTGTGACATCTCTAGGGTTCTCTTACTCTACCACACCAGGTTTCTGCTCTACTTCCTTAGCACTTTCTGCACATCTTTTCCTGTCCTCATAACACTCCCAAGCTCAGATGACTCATTTCTCTGCTTGAATGTGAATCTTTTGAGAGAAAAGAGCAGTATCCCTTTTGTTCTCAGCCCTCTTTGCATCTCTTAGGAAAGTGCTTAGAGTAAGCATTTAATATATCCATAGTGACTAACTGCTTGAATAAATGGGATGCACATCAGCATGTGCACATGTTGTCCAAAAATAGTGTTGTGGTTTGTCCAAAATGTTTTTAAAAAAATATCTTTCTTCTCTTGAGAAATTAGGGAAGATCTAAATCCACTTCTGAATAGTTCATTGATATCAACAGAAATGCATTCTTTAAAAAAATTATGAGTGACTCGCAGACTGTCAAGAAACAGAAAATACCACTAGATTATGCAGCTATGAATCCTTTTCAATTAAAGACGTTAATGAATATTCCACAGGAAAGAGTTAGCTTCCACAGTCTGGAGTTAATTGCCCACTCACACCTGATGGCTGATTTCTCACTGGAATGTTTTTGTAGATAAATCCCATCATTTCCCACAGCCCACAAGGGTAGAGCTTAGCGGGCTGCTTTACATGTGCTCTCAGTTGACCTCTTTTGCCTTAGACAGGATATTAGCTGTGCATCTCCTTTCTTCTTCTTGGATGATGTGATTTCCATGGCACTACTTGATTGACTTAGAAGCTTAGAACATGAGGTTATCGCTATCAAATCAGGACAATAGCAGAATTGAAAGGAGAACATGTAAAAGACAATTTCATTTCTCTTCGAAAGGTTTCAGAAATGTCCGTTATATTCACATTTTCATTTGAACGAGTTGGTTGCTTCACCAAGAAGGTAGTTTTTTCTTGGAAAAGATCATGAATCACGTCTCCTAAAATGACTTACCTTAAATTATTATCCACACTTACATGACATATTTTTTCTTTATTGTATTTTGTTCTTTCTGGATGGTCTGGAAGTCTGCACATAGCTTTGATTAAGGGAACATCAAAGAGAAAATTCACTGTAAAATTAAAAGGCAATGCCAGCAGTGATATGAACTCACTGTGGATAGTCGAAGGGAAATGTTTATGTGATCATAAATAAAGCCCCGATGCTTTCAGAGTTAATCATCCAATTACCGGTTTAAGGATGAAATACCAAGAAGGACAATTGCAATTTAGATGTGAAAGAAAGGTATTAGAAGAGAACACAACAAACCAAAATTTGTTTCTTAAAGAACCTTGGGTACCTTTTTATCCACCTGTTAGATCCAGAGATCAAGCTCTCTAGATTATTTTTTCACTGTAGGGTTTTTAAGTTTATATCGACAAACATGTTTTTCATCATCTGAGGGTAGCTTCCAGAAGTACTGAATTCACAGACCCTGAGGTCGTTTTCAACTCAGTGGAAAACAGCCGTGATTAGCATGTTTGGAAAGTGGCTTGTTCTCACCATTTCAGAAAGTCATCAGTAGAAATCGCTGACAGGTCTCCCTAACTCATGTCTCTGCTTCTCCTACAGAAGAGGCTTCACAGCCCTGCCCACATGAGAAGTGTTCTTTAATCCTGGACTGCAGTGGATTGTCCTTTTATGACTATTCCGGAGTCTCCATGCTGGTTGAGGTATTTACATTCCTTCCCTAACTTTGATTACCGGGATGTTCACCATCTACCGTCGCAACGCCAAGGCCTTGAGCCTGTGCGTTTCGTTATTCAACTCTTTGGCTTTCTCCCAAGGACCCTGGACTTTATACCTCGGATTTGCTTTCAGGAAGTTCTTTAAGCTTCTAGTTGGTGGGGGTGGGGGTGGGAGAGGGGGGTGGGTGGAGATGGGGGTATTCACAGAAAGTAGTCAGAGAGAACAGAAAATGAACTGGAGATGTCGTTGGTGTAGAACCAGGTCAGGAAGCTTGTGGAAGGAATGGGAAAGACCCTGCTCGGGCAGGTTCGTGTTGGGTCCGATTGAGTCAGCTCCCCCTCACCATGAGGTGACGCACAGCAGCACGAAGCACTGCCTGGCCCTGTGCCATCATCATAACTTGGTATGCTCATGTGCCTTGTTGCTGCCACTCTGCCTATCCATCTCATGAAGGGTCTTACTCTTTTTCCATTCCCCTCTAATTTACCAGTCATGATGCCCTCGTCCAGGTGCTGGTCTCTCCGGGCAGCATGCCCAAAGTGCACGGGGCCAAGTCTTGCCCTCCTCGTAGCTGCAGAGTAGTCTGGCTCTCCTGCTTTTACAACAGGGTCTGTTCTTCTGGAAGTCCGTGGTACTTCCGATATTTTCCACTAGTATCAGACTTCAAATACAGCAATTGCTCCGTGGTTTTCTTTATTCATTGTCCAGCTTTCCCATGCAGGTCATCGATTGAAAATACCCTGGCTCAGATCAGCACACCACTGTCCTCTTTGCTCTTCAACCCTTTAAAGAGTTCTTGTGCAGCCGATTAGACCCGTGCCAGAAGGTATTTGATTTCTTGACTGCTGCTTACAGGCCCATTGATTGTGGATCAAGCAAAATGAAATCCCTGGCAATTTCAATCTTTTCTTTGCCAATCACTCAGGCCACAGACTGTGTGAAAAAGTGGCCTGAGTAGTAGTTGTCGTTCGTATCACCAAGCCCACGATGCCCTCTGTGGAGAGCAGAACAAACCACCACGTAGGGTATCAATATCTTAACGCATCCATTCTTCCTCAGTTTCCTTATTTGTCTAACTTTCACATGCATATGAACAGTTTGAAAGTACCATGAGTTGAGTCAGATATACCTTAATCTTCAAAGTGACATCTTTGTTTTTAACATATTAGAGGCTTTTTTTTTTTTTTCAGACTTGCCCAATACACTTGGGACTTGGTGACAGGAGATGTAAAGTCTAACAAGAGACCATTCCTTGTCTTCTAAATGTGACCTGTATGAGGTCTCTTTTTTCTCTGTTTCCTTTGACTCTGGTGGCTGCATCTCTGCCCTATTATCTCCGTGGAGTTCTGTAATCAAGATGTGCGGAAAAAGGAAAACTCCCATTATTTCTTTACAGTTGACTTGCCTTACAAGCCTTCTTGCCAACTAAAGGTATAAGCTGGACCCGTTTGGAGTTTTTAAAATTAATTTTCAGAAAGGTCCTAGGTAAATAATTCATCTCCATCCTTTCTCACCATTGATCCCTAACCTTGGGGGATAGGGCCATCTTGAGGGTAGAGCCACATCTGTTCTTCAGCTATCCTCAGTCTTCCAATGGCTTGTGTTACACATGTTGTTGTTTTTAGGTGCCATGGAGTCAGTTCTGACCCATAAGGACCCCAGGTACAACAGAACAAAACACTGTCAGCCCCGTCCTGCACCATTCTCACAATTGTTCCTATGCTTGAGCCCACTGTTGTAGCCACCGTGTGGTAGTTACATGATCTGGTGCCCATTTGAGGATTCAGCGTGAAGGGGTAGTCTAGGCTGTCAGTCAGGTCACAGCCAATGAGGCCTCTGTGTGGCCTTGGCCTTCAGAGGATTTTCAGAATTCTGGAATTCTGGTTTCCTTCCTGGAGGCAGAAGACTCTTTCTCTCTCCTCGCTCCCTGATGAGAGATGCTGTACTGACAAGACACATGGCACTACACTGATAGATTCCATGCCCTGGGAGCTGGAGAAGCCACATGGAGACCACTGCCAGCGCTGAGATGCTTACACCGCCACTGGATCCATAAGACTTCCCACCCACTGGTCTGTGATCTTCCTGCATTCAGCATCATTGCATGTGTTTCATGAGTCTGAAGAGGACTTTATAGACTGATATTGGACATATGGGCTAATATTGGACTTATGGACTTGATCTGGACTGGGCTGGGATGTTTTCTCAATATTTAGTTTCTCTTACATATAAAGCTCTTTCTTATACACATGCGTCTCTATGAATTTGTTTCTCTAGTCTACCCAGACTAACACACACTGTCCATTCATCTTGTTGAGGGCTTTCCTTTTTTAGCTGTCCCTCTACTTACCAAACATGATGTCCTTCTCCAGGGAGTCTCTCCTGATACCATGTCTGATGTATGTAAGATGAAGCTTTGCCATCCTGGCCTCTAAGGAGCACTCGGGCCATACTTCTTCCAAGACAGATTGGTTTGGCCTTTTAGCCGTCCATGGTACTTTCAATTCTAGCACCACAATTTAAATACATCGATTCTTCTTCTTTCTTCCTTATTCAGTGCCCAACTCTCATGTCATCTGTTACTTAGAGCTCAGCCTAATGTCCCCCTTGGGTGTCTGCTTCCCAATATGTGTTCTTTCCCCAGGATCTTTTTCTTTTTTGGGACTCCAAGAGTCTTATCCAATGCATGTGTGCTTTGTATTCAGCCACTTATTCAAAACCTTAAGGCGATTTCTGAAGCTCTTTCTCTGCATATCACTTTTCTTTCCTTTACGCGGGCTCCCCTGCAGTCCGCTTTGTCGTGTGTGTGAGTCTTCCTCATTGTGGCGCAGGTAGGGCTTGGTGGCAGAAAGTTGAGGTGATTATAGGGTTTACCTCACTCGTCTTCCTTCTCTTGGAGAGCTCAGTCTTATACTGCCTGTAGCCCAATGCCAGGAAGCCGTAGTCCATAGATATTTTTACCAGTTGGCTACTTAATTGTTGTGCATGGGCTATTTCTGTTTGATCGTGTCAGGTGCTCCTCAAGGCCAAGAATGGGAATACGACTTGTAAGGTTTTTCTCCTTCATACACTTGCATATACTTTAATGGTAGGTGTGAAAGATAATGTCTACAAGCATCATGTTTTAGGAGCATGATAACAATCACTGACAAGGACTTTACAGAGTTAAGATTGGTAGTCATTTAAAGGTCTTTGTTTTAAATAAGAATAGATGATTCTGACCCAGGGGTTTTAGGAATATTTTGAGAAGTACAACTTTATGGTTGCTCTTTTAATGCAAAGACCAGCAAGTATATGTATTTTTTATCCAATTGCATTTCAAATTTGTTTCTCACTATGCTGTAATATTTATTGGATGCCCTCTGCAGACATTGAAAAATCAGAACCTAGGGTCGTAATAAAGGGAAAATAGTTTGGGGCTCCTATTAAGCTTAGGTTCAGATTCAGATCCGTCCAAACAATCTAGGTACTGAACAGAGGAAATACTTTATTTTCAAGCATTTTAATTGCCTTACTATTCTATAAAATGGCACTTACCAATATTATGATAGCATAAATCAACTAATGTGGTTTATTTCCAAATATGCAGGAAACTATATTTATCTTTGGTGCGGTGTTGTTTTTCATTCACATATACAAGTCCAGCAGTTTTATACTGGTTTGCTTTTTAAATGATCTTGTGACTACTTGGCTTATTTCATCATCGTTATGATGGCATTAAGGAGCCCTGCTGCTGTAAGGGGAAAGCACTTGGCTGTCAACTGGAAGGTTGGCAGTTCAAGTCCACCCTGTGGCTCTGCCGGGAACGACCTGCTGATCTGCTTCTGTCCTCTTCTGTCACACAGTTTCACCACAAGTTGCAGTCGAACCACCCACTAGCACACGAACATTAAAATCTATGGCGGTTAACTCAACTTTAGAGACAGACAAATGCTGGGTCTAAATATTAGCATATACTAGTTCTATGATGTTGGCCAACTTATCTGTTTGTCTTTTTTGTAACTGAATTTATCCACTTTATCAAGTTATGATGAGGCCCAGGAATGACACATTCCATAGATAGCATATAACAAAATGTCTGTCCTTTAGTGAACCTTCCAGAATGCTAGCTGCTCTTATTCTCATGTTACAGGAGCCATTTCTTAAAGGGCAAATGATATTCCTGGCACAGATATTGTCTCTTAGTCCCAGCCAACCTGGGGGAGGGCACAGATTGAAGAGCCACGGGGCTTTCATTAGGCAGGTGTGTCTTCCTGCTTACTGACAACATTCCCTGACTTGTTTTCCGAGTCACTGTAGTCGAAGGAATGTCCTCCAGGGGGCTGTAGGCCTGAGGAAGTGGGATGACCTCTATTTATTCTTGTATTTGGCATGCTGAGAGGTCAGCGAACTGGAGATTATGTTTCTGGGCATCAACAAACCACCCGTAGCAATGTGCCTGTGCTTCATTGAGCTTAAGAAAGAAGTCAAGCACTGGCAGGTCACCTTGAATTAATCACTTTTACTTACAGAAACAAGAGCCATTTATTCTACAGTAAAGCCTCCTCTTATGTTTGTGTGTATGTATATATTTATCCATTTATCTATCTACCTATCTACCTACCTTACTTATCTATCTATTTATGTAGTAGTTCTCATTTCTCTGCCTGTGGAGAAAACTGCTAATGCCAGAGGGATATGAAGGAAGTGCTTAATAAATTGTGATGACTCTTAGAATGGGTTAACAAATCCAGCTTTTTACATTTTACATGTAAGATACATCATTATTATGCAACTAAACCCACTCTCCTGTAACGAGAATGCCAAGATTCCCTTTCACTCCATTTCATGGGCTGGCTTTGACATGGATGAGTTTAAGATGGGGACCATCACTAAATTGTTCCTAGATGAGATTTACCATGATTTACACAAAGGGAAACTAAAGCAGTCAGGCAAATGAGCGAGGATTTCTGACCTTCATTGAGCTTTAAGAACGACGTGGGGTGGCATGCTTGGCTGGGATTGCAGTGAAGTCCGCAGGGTAGCCCACCCTTCAGTATACTTTGAAACCTGTTGAAGTTGATGGAAGCTATAACTGTGAGAAGCCTCCCGGGTGATGTAGTGGGTTAGCCCTGTGCCGCCTCACGGCGAGCACCATTCCCAACCCACCAGCTCTCTGCTGGAGAAAGAGGCTGTCCTCCCTTAAGAAGACTCAGTTTTGGAAACCCACAGGGGCAGCTCCACTCGGTCCTAGAGGGTCACTCTGAGTCAGAACAGACTTGATGGCAGTGCGTTTTTGTTGGTTTGATTTTCAGTTATTGTTTAAGTACTAGGTCAGCAGCTTTTATCATTTTCTCAAATGGGTCCTTGACTTCCAATAAAAGAAGGTTGAGAACAGTTTTTTTTATTTCTCTTATAGGGAAGGAAATGTGATGCTCCTATTTTCTATTAAATGAAGTAGAAGATGGAAGCAGACAAATTTAGTTGCAGTAAAGGTCAATGCCCGCTGCATTAGTCTCGTTGGCTGAAGCAAGCCTTCTTTAGTTTACCGGGTTAAGCATAACTGTGTAGCAATAGCTCCCTCTGGTGGTGTCACTTCATAAACCTTGAATATATATGTGTGTGTGTGTGTGTGTGCGCACACACACACACACACACACACACACACTTTTATCTAGAAATTTTCAAAGTTTCTTCTGAAACTCATCTTGTGACTTCCTTAAAGTTGTCCTGAACTAATTGTGGGTATACACTTTCAATCCCTCCAGGTTTACATGGAATGTAAGAACAGGAGTGTGGATATATCCTTAGTGCATTGCACAGGTAAGAGAGGGCCCTTGGCTAGCACTGGGTAGGACCCGTCTGCAGTTCCCTGCATCTTGATGATTAACTGCCTGTGCTTTGTTGTAGCTTCCTTGATAAAAGCAATGCAGTACTGTGGAAACCTAGACTTAGAGAAACCAATCTTTTTTGAATCAGTAGCTTCTGCAGTCAGTACTATTCATTCAAATAAGGTGAGTTAACAAAAGTTAGCACGGGTTCTAACGTTAGTTGCCGTTGTTCTTTTACTGTGGCACCTCTGTAAGGGTTGGATCAAGAGCACATGCTTATTTCCTCTGAGGTAGTTAATTTATTGTGCTAACCTCGCCGATAAACACATGTGGGGTTAATTGAAGGGCGGAGGAATAAATGGCTCAGCGAGCCTTGCCTTTCTAGTTCTCGGGTCTCTTGCTTTCTGGTGGTCGGATTAGGGTGCAGCTGTCTTAGCCAGTTCCCTGCTTCAGCTGGCAAGGCTCACTTCCTGCAAGACATCCCCAAAGAGAAGCCACATGGACCTATCCCGATGCAGCCCTGGGTGCTGGAGCAGCTGCGTGGAGACCCTGCCAGCGCTGGGATGCTTACGCGTTCACTGACTCAGCTTTCCTCCTGCACTCGGTGTCATCGTGTGTGTTTTGTGAGATGGAGGAGGACTTTGTAGATTGGTGTTGGACAAATGGGCTGATGTTGGATTTGTGGGTTTGGGCAGCACTGGGTTGGGATATTTTCTTGATGCGCACTTAACCTTTATATAAAACTCTCTGTTATACATGAGTTTCTGTGGATTTGTTTCTCTAAAGGACCCAGACTAACACATCCTCTATTTCAGAATGTGGGCAAACTCAGCGAGCACAGTGAGGTGTGAGGACCTTGGGCTGCAGGACAGAGATGGTCTAGCAACGCTGGGAAGACACCGCGCTTCAGCACTCTGCACGGTGTTGTTGTTGGGATGAGATTCTACAGACGACCTCCATTATGATAAGCATAATGTGACTCGCTACCTGTAGAGCCACTTGTTAAGATTTGCCAACGATTTTAAAATGTCTTTGTTAGTAAGAAGATGCACTTAGTAGGCTATTGTATAGTTTTACATATATATGTATATACATATATATGTATAATCAGTAAGCATTTAGTTTTAGTGTACTGAACGGTAAACATGTCTCCCTTTTACCATAGTATTTTGTGTTATTTTATTTCTATTTTGTTATTAATTGGTGGGAAACACCTAGCCACATAATAAATGATTTGACCCATTTCTCAGGCATTAAAAACAAAACAAAAAACCCCAGGATGGTTTATCTTTAACTCATACATAAAAACAAGTTAGCAAACAAGCCATTTTATTACACCCTCCTTCCGCTCAAAAAAATCCATTAAACATCAGTTAAGTCCTAATTTATACAGCATGCTATCAAATTCATAGGAAGTAATAAATTCATTAGAACAAATATCAAACGAGAAGCACTTGTTGGCCACACAAACGATTGTCCTTTCCTTGTCCTTTTATCTGGAGGACAACGGTACCGTGATGGACTCCAGTTTTCAGTATCGTCTGCTTTGTGGTGAATCTTGGAAACGCTTTTACTCTCTTCACACCAACAGCTCGAATCGCCATATTCCCACCCCATGAAGAGGCTCCGTGTTCTGATTAAGGTTAGTTGCAGCCACAGGTGTGGGAGTCACAGAATTTACAGATTTTTTTTCTCTTGAGCAAGTATTTTTTTTGTTTGAATTTACAGATTTTTACCAATATGATTTTTTGGATGTTAAAATACCACCAGAAGTGCTATTTCAGTGTAAAATTAAATGTAGCCGTTCCAGCCCTCTCTGTTTCCCAGTGGTAGATAATATAATCCAATTATCTATCTATATTCATAAAATAGATACATTCCCACTGTACGTCTTCTGCTCTCCCTTTTTTGGGGTGAGGGCTAGAGGAGGACTTGGGCATGTGTTCATCTGCAAGCTCACCAAATGCAGTAAAATCGGCAAATAAACACCACAGGCCCGCTTGAACCAAGAGATTTTTGTTTGTATGCTTGCACTTACATTCTCAATCATGCACAAGTTCATTGTTTCTCATTTTAACATACAAATTGTTTTACCTAAGAAGAAAAGTCACTTTCAAAAATAAGTGTAGACACGTCTTTACGAAGGAACTTGTAAGCAAGTGTGAGAAGTATTTTGGAAGGACTGGCCATTTCAGCATTGCCCTAGGACTCTTGGTCAGAGTCAGTGCTCCTGTGTCTCCAGTGCTGTAAGGAGTGGTCCCGAGCAAAGCCGTGGGAAGCATTCATGTGGTCCTTAAGCTCAACATCGAGTACCAGGAAGACAAATGTCATCAAATAAAAGGGGAAGAGTAAAAGAATGCTTTCAGTTCTCATAACTTTGTCCGAACAATCGCCCGGTGTCTGAAACCAGTTCACTCACTCAGTGACTAATTTAGAGGAGAGGGCGCACCATCAAATGCCATGCCTAGCATGTACCGTTGTAGGGAAAAGTGAAAGGAACCATGGGAGGTCAAGTTGCCTGAGAGAAAGGAATTTTGCTCTGCATGGTTCACTTGAATTAGTCCAGTGGTGGGTGGTGGTAAAATTTACCATCCCAATCATCCATTGGTTACTGACAGGTAAACATGAGTCAAGAAGAGTCAAGAAAAGAAACGATGTTTGCTCCTATCAATTAGGAGCCAGGGTGGTGCTGTGGTGAAGTGCTAACTGAAGGGTCAGAGATTCAAACCAACCAGTCACTGCGGTAGTCTTCTTCTAGAAAGGAGTTCCAGCCCGAGGGGGGAGGTGGCAGGGGGGTGCAGTTCTAGTCTGCCCTAGACAGTTGCATGAGCCAGAATGGGCTCATGGTAAGGAGGAGGATGGACAAGTGGCATTTGGCTACGCAACTGCAGCCCAGAATGGAATTCATGCCCTACAGACATTTTCTAATTTAGAGATTATGGACCGTGATAACTCTAAAATCATGTGCTTAATTGATAGATGATTTGTTCTCTTTTATGATGGAAGGTGACACAGTATTAACTGAGCAGTTGCGTGTGAATGCGTTTCATGATTTATAGTGCAAGCCTAATAGATAAAACTTTCAAGCCAGTTCCTTGGATGTCAAATGTTGTGTTACATTCTAATAGATGGAAAAACAAACAAACAAACAAACAAACAAAACCATGTACCTTATGTAGCCACTTCCCCTCCATCGCCTCCTGGATCCCAAGGCCTCAGTGAATGGATGGCCCGGAGGAGCTCCCTGGAGTTGAGTTCTGAAAATCCAAGAGTTGTGTATCATACGTAGATCCGTAAGATTCCCAAATAGACGTGTTTGTTTGTTTTTCTGAAGCAGGCTTTAACAGCATATGAGCTATAACATGACTGCGATGCCAGAATGCTTCCAGTGTCACAGTTATTTTTATCAGATTACCTTATTTTTATACATGATAAAGGACTTCCATATTACTTATCATGGTAAAAACAATGGGGGAAAAAACTAAAAAGGACTTATAAGAGAGCTGAAATCCCCATGAAACAGTATATATAAACTAAGCCTAAAATACATAACCAGGAAAAGATGATTAACCTTACATCTATGCAAATGAAATGTCTTTAAATTTCCCCAGTTCACTTTCATTGTAAAGGTTATTTGCCCCTGATTGTGTGATTCAAGTATTATAAGATCTACTTTAATGAGTCTCCAGTAATTTATTAGACACATCTCTATAGCTACACAATGTAATCATGAAGAAAGAGATCTTTCTTCTTTAATGAAAACATGAATGTATTAATATCCTGTATGGATAGTGTTTGACATTTAGGTGGTTACCCAAAATATATCAGTATGCTGTTGAACTTAGAAACGCACACTCATATTCTATGAGATGAGGATCTAATGGAACATAAAAGGGAAAGTCAAAAAGTATTGCTCCTAGGAGCTCTAGCTCATGTATGTAAGAGTTTGTTTTTTTTAAAGACACTTTTAACTTGTCTTTGCCATCAATTGATGACTGTTAACAAGTTCCCACAGTACTGCACTTGTCTTGGCCTTGTTAAGGTGCTTTCAAAAGAAAGAGAGAAGACAAGGAGAGAAGGGAAGGATGAAGGATGAACAAGGAAATGAAAGGCTACTAGAGGTGCCGTGGGAAAAAAGACTATGAGATCAGGGCTAAGACCAAGTTTTAATAGAAGTAGACATCACCTCACATCGTTCAAGGTAACATGAAGGCTGTCCCACATAAAATAGGTTTCAGATGGATCAAGTGTTTTATGGAAGGGTTGGAAGACTGCAAGGATGAGCCGAGAGAGGGAAAACTGTCAACCATGCTGAATGAGGAGATTGGCTGAAGGGTAGAAATGGCGGAAAGGAAGCCATAAGAATTCCCATAGAAGGAAACCAGAAGGTTTCCATCCAAAGAAAACCACCAAGCTGAGATTTCATGTCGTTTGACACTTTCGAGTTAAGCGGAAACCTTGGCCTCAGCATGCTTTTGGCTTAACGGGTGCCAGAATCATTGAGTGAAGACCAGCTACTTTATAGAATGTCCATCCGTCCTTCTGTCAGCAATACCGAAGCTAGTGAGCATGATTTTATAAACGGAAGCATAACCAGAGATGGGTTTCAATTGACTTGTGCCATCCAGAGAAGAAGGTCCACTCACAGAGTGGCTCCCTGCGGGGTCAGTTACATGTAAGTAAGAGAGGTAAATGCAGGAAGTCCCAGGTAATCCTGAGAGATTCTCTGGAAGGACACAGGATGATTATAGGGGCTTCTTATGAAGAAGTTTAAGAAAACTGAAAACTGTGTTGGTGAGAAAAGGGCCAAGAAAGTTGTGCCAATGAGGGCTCTTGGTTCATCACAATGCGCTTTGAGGGATGCAGTTTGGGTCCCTGAAAAATGCTCCAACTGTCCTTTTGAAGTGTGAATCAAAGTGTGTACAATCCTTTGGAGAAGGAAGGGTCAGAGAGACGAAAAGACGCCTCAGAAAAGAATAGGCCTAGATGGAGGCTGTATTGTGAAACAAACTGCTTCACATGTTGATACTTTTGCTTAATAAACATTACTAGAATTTTGTAGCAATACTTTCTGACTCACTTGTAGAATATGCTTTTGGGCAGGGCATTTGTTGCCAGATTTCAAGTAGGGAGTTAAGTGGTGCTTTCACGAGCGAGAGACTTTTAGTTAAAAATCACTTTGTTTAATATGCTGCACTTATTTTTTTATGTTTTACAATGGATTGAATTATCTTTTTTATAAATCTTTGTACTAACTTAGCATGTAACAACCAATTTACATGGGAATAAATTGAACTATGTTAACTATTATATTTCAATGAATCGTGTCCATTTTTCATTTATTTACTTGCTTGCAAATCAAATGGCACACACTGCTTTCTTAGGCTGACCACATTGCTATGTGTTGAAGATTCCTAAAAGCATGCATTATTCTTGGTAATTTGTTCTGATATAAAGTTTCAACCCAGGTATGTAATGTCTTGTGCCTTAATTTATGGATTCCTGATGAGAACAGGTTTTGCTACATGGCTATATTTATATAATCTTCCTTATCAGTTTTTTACATCATTCTTATTGAACATCCTTCTTTTTAAAAAAGCTGGCACCCGTACTTTTCATTTGTTTGAGTGCACTTACATACGATTGTTTTTTTCCCCCTGAGTTACTAAGATGAGTTAAATATGATGAAGCATTTTAAAGCTTATCATATTGTTTTTTATCTTATCATATTGTTAAAAAGGTAAAAATATTATTATTTTTAAAAGGTAAAAATATTATTATGCATTTACTAATCCAAAGCCAAGAAGCTAAAGTGTGAGAAATATAGCAGTGAGGAAAACAGTCAAACAAAACAGGAATGAGCAAACAAACCAGCCCACTCGCATAGAGCTTTGATTGTAATAAGGAGAAGCAGTCAGTAAAACTGGACCAACCATAATATGTCTGCTGTAAGTATGGTGATAGCATGCGCTCAGAAGAAGTCAAGCCAAGCCGGGAGGAGATAGATGGGTGTCTCGTACTCACACATAGTGAAGAGCGGGGACTAAAGGAAGTCATGCATTTCCTAGACAGTTTTCATTTCATTTTTATGTCGGAAAAACAGGTGACTTGGAATTTCATGTGTGTCTAGTATAACATGATATTTTCACATTCAGAAATACAAATACCCATAGGCGAGTTGGCTAAAACATTCTACTGTCAGAGAGGATAGGTGAGGACAGAGATCCAAACCTTACCTGGCTACTCAATTAGGGGACGGCCATGAGACGGCGTGGAGTGAAGTGGTCAGCACTGGGTTGACGATGTACCAATGGGTGTTCTGGAACTGAAGAGCCTTGGTGATGGCAGGATTCAGTGCTCAACTGCTAACCGAAAGGCCATCGATTGGAACCCATCAGCCACTCTGTGGAAGACAGTGTCAGTCTGTTTCCAGATAGATTTAAACCCTTGGATCCCCTATAGATCTGCGCTTCCCAAAGTGAGCAATACCATGCCCGGAGGTGCACTAGAACCATATGATGGGCTTCAAAAACAGAAACCTACACTTTATTCTGAATTATAGGCTATAGCACAAATATTTTAATTACTGGGAGTGGGGGAGGTGGGCACTGTTGGCTTTTTTTTTTCCCCATGAAAGGGGGCTGTAGACCAAACACATTTCAGAATCTATGAGAAGCTGTTTGAATTGACTCAACAGCAGTGAGTTTGTCTTTTCTTTGTTTTATGGGGGAAAACATTCCTTAGTCATAACCAAACACCTTGAGGGAAGGAATCAAAGTAATGTTGATCACAGACCACTGTGAGACTAAATTCTCAGGTACCGTAACCTGGCCAAATTGACACACAGAATGAACCACAGGAAACACACACACACACACACACACACACACACACCCCAAACTCTTGCCATTGAGGCCATTCTGACTCATGAAGACTCTAAGGTTTCGGAGACAATAAATATTGATGGGTGCTACAATCTCATCTTTCCCGTGGAGTTGTTTGACGGGCTCGAATCTGGAACTTTGTTGGGTTAGCAACAAGGGGCAAGAAGCATTTATGATGGAAACGAAGATGGGCTTACTCAGACTAAATAAATCTCAGAGCTTATAGAAGAGGAAATGTGGGGCCTGGGCACTGGATGGATTTGCCGGGAGAACAAAAACTTAGGAGAAGGTTGCTTTAGAGAGGGGTGTGTGTCTATCAATAGCAGGTTGCCCCTTGAATCCAAACATTGACTCCCCTATTCTTTCAAGGGATGTGAAATAATTTATTTAGACTCTTAAATTTTATGAGCAGAAAGAAAGCAAAGAGGGCACTGCCACATCTTGCATTCGCCTTGGTCTGTGCTTGCCACTGGTGGACTCTGACTCGCAGCAACCCTATGCACCAGAGACCCAAACACCGCCTCGTCCTGCGCCATCTTCACAACCATTCCTGGGTTTGAGCCTGCTGCTGCAGCCCCTGTGTTGATGTGTACTGTAGAGGGTTGTCCTCTTTTTCATGGACCCTCTACTTTACCTACATGATATCCTTGTTCAGGGACTGATCCCTCTGGATCACATTGCCAAACTCTTGTAATCCTTGCTTCTAAGGTACATTCTGGTTGCATTTTTCTAAGGCATATTTGTTTATTCTTTTGTCAGTCCATGGTACTTCCAGTATTCTTTGCCAAGACCATGATTCCAAGGTGTCAATTCTTCTTTGGTCTTCCTTATTCATTATCCAGCTTTGAGGTGATTGCATACACCATGGCTTGGGTCAGGTGTGCATTAGTCTTCAAACTGGCATTGCTTTTTTAAAGAGGCCATTTGCAGCAGATTGTCATAGTGCAATGTGCTGTTTCATTTCCTGACTGCTGCTTCTATGATTACCTTTCAGGAGGCTTTAGTTCTCTCACCAGCTAACAAGACATTGTCACCAAGGCCTGAGAGAACAAAGCACTCAATACAGTTTGGTGAGCAAAGGCTGCTAGACATATCTTTAGGAGATTTGGGTGCTGCCAAGGATGGATGAGTGCTATTTGTAGGCAGGCTGGGAGGAAGAGGAGTCAGGGTACATGGAGATGGGCTTGGTGTTGTCGCTTAGCCATGGTGACTGCCCAGGGTCACCCCTGGATCCCAATTACACAGATTTTATGAAGCTGGAGTTCATGAAGTCAAACACATTATTTTTTCTCCCACTGAGCAGCTTTTACTGGGCTTTGGACCCATATCCTTTGCTTTACCGTAAGCCTTTCAGAGTAGCAGTGTAGTTGCCCAATCAGAACCCGTGTACAATTCTTGTATCCTGAAAACTTTTTTTTTGGAATGGCTATCTTCACAATGTCAACAAAAACTCTGAATTTGTAAGGTCTAATTCAACAGAATAGAAGCTAAAATTCATTAAAACCAGTCAAATTATAGTTCCCCTTCCTCCTAAATTCTGTAGAAAAGTAATGAACGCTACACTAGAGTTGACCTGAGGAACTGCTAAATACACAGACTCACACACCCTACACAGTGATACAGTTTCTTCGAGATATGATTATAGAAATAGGGTTGTAAATAATCAGATTTAAGTTTTTCTACCCTAAAGTTTTAGAATCACGGTCACAAAAGCTTTCTTCAGCCTGATAGATGACAGCAGCCCAGTATTCGAATTCCTCAGCACCCATGATTTCATCACTGGCTTGGTTAGGGCTTGGGCATTAGTGGCAGTGGACAGTGGGTAGAGAGTCTACTGTTACGTAGCTAGAGTGTCAGAAACCAGGGTTGTCCCTTTCCATGCCAAGGCGTCCCCTACAGGAGGTTGCTGCATAGAATCAGGCGAGCTAGCCAGCCACAAAGGCTAAAGGGCATGCGCAAATTCAGGCCCTTGAGCCAGGAAGCCAGTACACTTGGGTGAACCCCAATCTAGGCCAGGTGGGTTTAATTCAGCCAATGGGATCAACCAGTACCATTGACCACTCCTCCCAGCAGAAGGCCCCCAAAAGCTGGAACTTTGGAGACCACGGCCCTCTTTTCCAACTGCTCCTCTGTGGGTTCCACATAGCTAAGGCTGAGATCTCTGTCTCTCACTCTGATCCTAGGGGCATCACGTGTGGTTGTGCAGTGCCCTGAGGGTGCCCATGTTCTTAACTGTAAAACTTGAAACTTCTTCTTTATAAAACTCACTTGGCTCACAAGCCAGGCTTTGGTGTGAATTCTTTCTCATTTGAGGCCAAGAATGGAGGTGTTTCCCACCGGAGGAATCTAACAAGTCTATCTACAGTGCTGTTGTTAGAGAGTAAGAATGAGCTGTATAGTTCTGTCACATTTCAAGGGACAGTGGAGAATTCACCATACCCCCCCATTCAATCTTTTAAAACCATTTTAAAATTACACAATAAAATGTAAATAATTTACTTAGGTGAAAAAATAAAATGCAATAGATGAGGCTAAAGTACCCTTTAATAATCTCTATTCTGCTGCTATAGTTTTAAAAC